AAGTCCTCATATGAGTGAAGTCATGATTTTTGTCTTTCTCTAATTTCACTTAGCATAATACCCTCCAGTTACATTCACGTAGTTGCAAAGGCAAGATTTCATTCTTTTTGATTGCCGAGTAGTACTTCTTGTGTATATATACCACATCTTCTTTATCCATTCATCCATCGATGGACATTTGGGCTCTTTCCATACTTTGGCTATTGTTGATAGTGCTGCTGTAAACATGGGGGTGCATGTGTCCCTTCGAAACAGCACACCTGTAAGGGATTATCTGTTCTTAAAGCTTGGTTTCTGGGCTTTGCAGTCACAGAACTGGGCTTGCACCTTGGCCCACTGTATAGCCCTGGGGAGATGACTCAGCCTCTCTCAGCTTCCCGTAAAGTGAGATTAAGGATGCCTGCTCTTTACGGTTGTTGTGTGGGCCAGACCAGACAATGCTCGTGAAGGCCCGAGCACACAGAACACACAGTGTGGGCAGTGGGCCAGAACAGTGCTGGTGACATACTGCCTGGATTCAGGTCCTGACTCTCTCTGCCTCAGTCTCCTTGTCTATGTGAGGAGTAAAATGAGGATAGTACTTTATAGAGCTGTTGTGAGGATTTAGTGAGATAGAAAGCACCTGGAACAGTGCCTGGGACTCAGTCAGTGTTAGCATTTAGTGTTATTCTGTCTTTGCAAGAAGAATGGGTAAAGATTTGGTTACCATTTGGTACCCCTGCTGCCTTGGTATTTCTTAGCCTCAATTTTCAGTCTTCTCAGATACATTCCTCTTCCTTAAGCCCATCCCTGACTGCACTGCTTTCTCTGCCCTGATAGCTTGACTGTAGTAGACTCTGATGGAGCAACCAGCTCTACCACTGCGAGCCTGACAGTGAACAAAGCTGTGGATTATCCCCCTGTGGCCAATGCGGGCCCCAACCAAGTGATCACCCTGCCCCAAAACTCCATCATCCTCTTTGGGAACCAGAGCACCGATGATCATGGCATCACCAGCTATGAGTGGTCACTCAGCCCAAGCAGCAAGGGGAAAGTGGTGGAGATGCAGGTAGGAGGGAGTGGCTTCTGCCTTCTCTTGCCCAGGGGAGTCAGAGCTCCTAGGCTGGCTGCCCTACGGAGGCTTCTTTTTGCCCCATTGTAATTACCAAAGTCAGATTTATATAGAACATTGAAGGTTAGAATTAAAAAAAAAAAAACTTAGAAAATTTAAGGGGCCTTTAATGAACACATTAGCAAAATCTTTGTCTTTAGTGTTTAGTATTAGAGAAAAAGATGAGATGAAAAAGGGGAGCTGTTCTAGAACAGTTCCAGAGAGTCAGTCTACTCTGATGCTACAAGGGTGCAGATCTTAATGAGCTCTGCCACAGATTGGAGTAGCCTGCCTGGATAGATGGTGAGCATCTTCTCTCGGGAGATATTTAAGAAGAGACTAGATCTGTCACCAGGCAGGTAACGTAAGTAAAACTGAATAGGGCCTTTGGCTAATCATACAACATAACCCCTGACTGAGGTGGCCATCTGTGCCTCAGGTCCAGCTGGTTGTTGCCACATGGAAATATGCTCTCATATATTCCTAGATAGACCAGCTTTTCAAGAGAAAATGGAATTCTAGACCTTTATGTGAAAATTTCCAACTTTCGGGGTGCTTGGCTGGCTGCTGTCACTGAAGCATGGGACTCTTGGCCTTGGGGTTGTGAGTTTGAGCCCCACATTCAGTGTACAGATTGCTTAAAAATAAAATCTTAAAAAAATTAAAAAAAAAAGAAAATTTCCAACTTCTAAGACACTGCAGGCCAAACACAACGCCTGCAGGCTAGATTCAGCCCAGAGGCTGCCAGGTTTTGCTCACTCTTCTAGAGGAAGTTCCTGCATTGCCCTAAATTGGGTATAATGTTCCTTCTGACACTGTGTTTCCAAATCGGAGGCATGACTTAAAGCTCACATTTCACCTGGCTTTTGTTTAGATATGATGTTCGGTTTCTCTGCTGCTGTAGCATCTGCACGAACCTGCAAGGGGACAGCATGGCATTGCATAACCTCTTGAGTTGCCATGTTTTACTGAGGCAGCTTTGTTCTGATGTCTGAGTGGCCTCAGCAGGAAGAACATGGTTTTAAAAGCATGTTGTTTTATTATATGCTCATGGCCTTCTTTCTGGCTTGGGTCATAAAGACTGATGATCTTGGTTATCTGTGCACAGTTTCCTGTACTCCTTTCCCTGGGGAGAGCTCTGACTTTATTTGAAAGTGCTGCTGTCAGGGAAGGTTGTTCCCTTGAAACGGGAACCTTTTACTTTCAACGGGATGTCCCACAGTGTTTGATGCTGCACTCACTAGCTTTAGAGAACTGGGTGCATCATTTAGACCAGAGTAGGACTTACTGTATGATGTTGTGATTCTGGGAGTCTGCTTTTCCACTTGTCTGTATTTATACATCCAGGGTGTTAGAACACCAACCCTGCAGCTCTCTGCCATGCAAGAAGGAGACTACACTTACCAGCTCACAGTGACTGACACGATAGGACAGCAGGCCACTGCTCAAGTGACTGTTATTGTGCAGCCTGGTAAGTTCCAACCTTGTAGCGCAGACTCCTCTGTTGGCTGGTCCTTTGAACCATAGGGGAGAAGAGGGTTTGGGTTCTGAGCTACACAGCGGTAGTGGGAGGCACCAGTCCACGGGGACCCTGGCAACTTCACTTGTCCGTTCCAAGTGCTTTCTTCAGAGCTAGAGAGAAAGAGTACTTCACAGCCTCAGCTTGTGCCCTTGCCTTTGGCTAGTCATCGTGCCTTCGAGGGGACCTAGCAGATAGAGTCTCTGTTATCCCAAAACCTACCACGTCCTGTAAGGGATAGCCTAAAGCCCACTTCCTCAAGAAAGCCCTATCTTATCACTCAGACTCTTTCATTTGAACTCCCATAGTATTACATTTCAAATTTAGCATGGCATTACAACTTTGTTATGTTCTGCCATGTTCTTTCAGAATAGTTTTATATCTTTCAGTCTTATATTCATCATGAGCTCCCTGACCCACAATATCTGATTGTTCTCTGGGCAGAGAGGCAGAGTCCTGATGGCTTCCAGAACATATGTCCCGGTGGCTCCTCTCTTTTCCCAGCCACACTACCTTCTTTTGACCTCTGTGTCTCTGTCTTCTAGAAAACAACAAGCCTCCACAAGCAGATGCAGGCCCGGATAAGGAGCTGACCCTTCCTGTGGACAGCACAACCCTGGATGGCAGCAAAAGCTCAGATGATCAGAAAATTATCTCATATCTCTGGGAGAAAACACAGTGAGTATTGACACAAAACCCTTATTTATGCAGCCTCCAGACCTTTGAAGAACAAAATGTCACTTGCTTTTAAGAGTTCACTTGTTCTTACTGGCTTATCCAAGGGGGCAACGGGGGTGGCTTGGTGACTGAGAAAGAAACGTTAGCAATCTAAACTAACTCTTAAGAAAATGATATAACATAATTTTTGTAAGAAAAAAGTATGCTTATCATCAGCTAGTCCCCAGTTAGTACTTTGTGGTCCTGGTGCTTTTACAGGTACAATCCATCTGCCGAAATGCATAGTTTAATTACACTTGAGAGGCGGGATGGAAGGGGTAATGGAGCAGAAAAATACTGTTGCTCAAAATTAACTGGGTAAGGCTGGCAGTGTGGATAGGGCAGAGCAGCTATTAAAGAGAACTGAAAATTCATCTGCACAATGAAAGCATTACTCTGTTATTGTTTCCTTAAAGACATCATTTACCAATTATGTTAGTGAGAGGCCAAAGGCACTAACCAAAATAATACTAATTAAGCTGGAATTACCTAATCGAACCATTTCTGGTTCTCACAGTTTCTTTCAGCTCCTTTAAACCATAACAAATGGAACTCAGATTGTATTCAGGATCCCACAGAAAGCAAAGGAATTCCAAGGAAGAGTTAAAAAGCATTCTTAGTTTCTAAAGGTAGCAACTAAGGACAGACTGAGGTTTTTTTTTTTGTTTTTGTTGGTGACTAGGGCATTCAAAATGGGTGGGAAGGGGCTATAATTTGACTATAGAAACCACTGGACTTTACAATTGGTGAGTTGGATTCTAGAAATTCATTTCCTCAGCTCTTGTCTATTGTGGAGAACCTAATCCTCCTCAGCCCAGTGTGTTTGCGTCGTAACTGTTAAAGACAGCTGATAAACCTTCATTTGAGTAGAAATCATATAGCAGAAATAGTGCTTAGAGTAGCTTCTTGGAGGAGAGTCTGTTTCAGGAGGGATGACTAGGGCCAGAGATTATATGTTTAAACAGCAAAATAAAGCAAAAACCTGGAAGACTGCAGATTTCTCTGGTCATCTCTTAATTTTAAACAAAGCTCTCTGGGGCATTCTGCTCCTTGAACAGAAGGGCTCTCTGGTATGTGCAGAGTTGTGCCTGGATGTTGGCACAGAGCTCACTCTCTGGCTGCAGGCTGCTATGTGAGGCCACAGGGGAGAAAGAAGGATGCAGGGTGTCCTGGGGCCTCTGTGGCCCCTGTCTGGGAGCTCTGCTTCAGAGCTGCTAAGAAGAGGATGGTTTTGCTGAGAGTTCCTCTGCAGCTTTGGCCCATTTCCTTTCCTTGACTTTTCAGTGGGAGGGAGTTTGGCATATGATTAAGAAACGCATTTTGCTTCTTTGCTGGCAAGAGCTGAACCAACTACTGGGCCAGAAATGCTTTTCAGAAACATCACTCTGAAATCGTTCTTTTGATCAGGGACCTGCTCAGAGCGCTTTCTTCCTTTTACAAACTGGAACAGCAGAGTTTGAATGTTCTAGAAACTCATAAAAAGGATAAGGCTAGATGTGTTTGAAAGCTGGTGAATGGAATTTTCTGATCAGCAGGTAGCTGTATTTTGGTGCCAAATGACACTCTGTCCAGATGTATTATTTTTATTTTTTTTTAAATTTTTTTTTTTCAACATTTATTTATTTTTGGGACAGAGAGAGACAGAGCATGAACAGGGGAGGGGCAGAGAGAGAGGGAGACACAGAATCGGAAACAGGCTCCAGGCTCTGAGCCATCAGCCCAGAGCCTGACGCGGGGCTCGAACTCACGGACCGCGAGATCGTGACCTGGCTGAAGTCGGACGCTTAACCGACTGCGCCACCCAGGCGCCCCAGATGTATTATTTTTAAACATGTCCTCTCAAGGTCTGGGAAACAATAGTTTGTGCATCAGCTGAGGCAGTAATTGTCTGCTTCTGCTGAGTCAGGGATGGAAGAACAGCAGACAGGTACAACTCTACCCTTTGGTTTCCATCTTTGTCCAGGGGACCCGATGGGGTGCAGCTCGAGAATGCTAACAGCAGTGTCGCCACTGTGACAGGGCTACAAGTAGGAACCTACGTGTTTACCTTGACCGTCAAAGATGAGAGGAACCTGCAAAGCCAAAGTTCTGTGAATGTCATTGTCAAAGAAGGTACCTCCCTGTCTTGGGTTGGTGCAGCCTCTGGGTGAGATAACTGAGGAATCAGGCATCTCTTTTTTGGCTGCAGAAATTGATGAGAGACAAGGGGTGGGGGATAAGTTGGGGGAAAGGGCAGCTGTTATGAACTTTTTTTCTTTTTAATGTTTATTTTTGAGAGATAGGGGAGGAGGGGCAGAGAGAGAGGGGGAGACAGAGGATCCGAAGCAGGCTCTGCTGACAGCAGAGAGCCCGATGTAGGGCTCGAACTCACA